CACACGCGCACACGCGCACACGCGCACGCGCGCACACGCGCACACACGCGAACACACGCGCACGCGCACACGCGCGCACACAAGAACACGTGCACACGCGCACACGCGCACACACGCATCACCGCACACGCGTACACGCGCACGCGCACACGCGCACACGCGCACACGCGCAAACGCGCGAACGTGCACACGCGCCGCGCGCACGCGCGCACACGCGCACGCGCGCACACGCGCAAACGCGACACACACACACGCGCACACGCGCACACGCGCACACACGCACACACGCACACACGCACACACGCGCACACGCACACACGCACACACGCGCACAGACACAGACACAGACACAGACACAGACACAGACACAGACACAGACACAGACACAGACACAGACACACCCACGCACACCCACGCACACCCACGCACAGCCACGCACAGCCACGCACAGCCACGCACAGCCACGCACACCCACGCACACCCACGCACACCCACGCACACCCACGCACACCCACGCACACCCACGCACACCCACGCACACCCACGCACACCCACGCACACCCACGCACCCACGCACACACACGCACACACGCACACACGCACACACGCACACACGCACACACGCACACACGCACACACGCACACACGCACACTTACACTTACACTTACACTTACACTTACACTTACACGCACACGCACACACACACGCACACGCACACACACAGACACACACACATAAATATACACAAGTAACCAGATTCCCCATAGTTACCCATAGCTTCTCGGTTTCCGTCTTCCCCCCCACTTCACATATTTCCAAATATTTTCCTCGGGATCGAGGATTAAATTGTGCCTGTGTGTGTTTCCCCCTCCTGAGACACGCCGTTTTCTGCCCTTCGGGCCTCGCCGCCCGCCGCGGCACCCTCCGAGGTGGTGCTCTCCTGCTCCTCCCGGAGCACTCTCTCAGGGCGGAGGGCTCAGGGTGAGAGATCCATATGGGCATTCGCACCTCGAAGATCAATCCGTCTTTGAAGGGGCCCTGGGACACACACGCATAAATATGCACAAGCAAGCAGATTCCCCATAGTTTCCCATAGTTTCTCGGTTTTCGTCTTGGAGCACTCTCTCAGGGCGGAGGGCTCGGGGCGAAGGCCACACTACAGAGGGCTGGAGACCCACCCCGATAAGGAGCACCCCGACAACGCAACCGTTCAATAAACGCACCCGACGAAGGAATCGAACCAGAACGCGCTGCTTAGTAAACGCACAGGGCCGGTTAGGAAACGCCAGTTATGGGGGTCGGGGTGGATTTGTCCTCGTTGACATACGGGCATCCGCACCTCGAAAATCAATCCGTCTTGTGGTTCACCTTGTGCAGATTCGACCTTCGAAAATCAGTCGCAACGGCATTTCAGATCTCACCCTCTGCCCTCCACCCATAAGGAAATGCTCGGTCCTCTGGCTGCGCCCGCGGCGTGGTGGACGTCGGGTGCCTGGCGCGCCCGGACGCGCTCGCGGCACGGTGCTTCTTCGCCGCGCGGCGCTTGGTGGTGGTGCCGACCTCGTCTCCGCCCACCGACTGGCTTGCGGCATCGCTGCTGCACCAAGCCTGGGGGACCAACACGTGAGCAGGGGCCGACCGTCCCGGCATTCCCATAGGCCTGCCACGAAGTGTTCTTAGAACCCAAACATGTGCTAAAAACAAGAACCATGCTCTCAGAACATGAACCTATGTGTTAAAGCAGGACAGTCTCAACCAGAAATGTTCTAAGAGCATTTCGTGCAGACCACACAACGTTCTTAGAACATTCCTAGGTGGCCCTTTAGGCAAGTCAGGACGCTTCGCCACTGCTTGAAACATACTATCATCACCCCTACTCCCTGGACCAGTTCCGACCAGAATCCTACCATCTCTTTATGGCGTAGGTGGAAAAAGGCGTTTCCTTTCCCCCTTTCTTCTCCCTCGGGGAACAGTTTGTATCTGCTCGTTGTTTCTATGTATGTATGTATGTATGTATGTATGTATGTATGTATGTATGTATGTATGTATAGATATATATGTATGTATATATATATATGTCTATAACTATATTTACATATACGCCAGCCCTCTGGAGGGACCACCAGGCTGTAGGCCGAACAGTGCTGTTTCAAAACTCCAATGTTACAATTCTGCTTCTTTCTGCTTTCCACTATACATGGTTGAAATCCGCGCGAGGGGGGAAGCCTCAAACCGCCCGCCCGGGTCGCGTTCTCTGCATTCCTGGGGGGGGCGTGGGGGACATATAAAATGCTATGCGATTCGCACCCCCGAGGTCATGATCCCTCGAAAATCAAGCAAGCTTCGCGTCCCCGAGGCCCCCCGCCCGTAAATTATACAAGTGGTGCGTCCCCGAGGCAACAAACCCATGCAAATCACGCAATATTCGCGTCCCCGAAGCCATACTCCTCCGCAAGTTGCTCCATATTCGCGTTGCCGCGGCCAAGAGTGCTCCAAGGCGCCCGAAGTGGTTCCAAGACGGCCCAAGAGGGCCCAACGAGGCATCAAGAGCGCTCCAAGAGGCCTCCCGAGAGAGCCCCAAGAGGCCAAACTCGTAGATTTTACGAATAGGTGTTTGAAGGATGTTTGGCCTTCTCGCATCTTCGGCTTTCCGAAGCTCCAAGACGGCTCAAGAAGCTCCCAAGACCGCACACGACAGCACAAAACGCGTCGAAGAGGACCCCAAGACGGCCCAAGAGGGCTCCAAGATGGCCCAAGAAACGCTCAAGACGGCCCAAGAGGGCCCCAAGACGGCCTCAAGAGGGGCCCAAGCAAGGGGACCACGAACGGAATATTCGACATTTGTGTCCCGAGAAGCCCCAAGGAGGCCCCAAGAGGCCGCCAAGAGGCCAAAAGATGCCCCAAGAGGCGCCCAAGACGCGCCAAAGAGGCCTCCAAGAGGCCCAACAAATACCCCACGAGGCTCCTAAGAGAGGCCACAACCGCCTCCGAGAGGCCCAGCAAAGGCTCCCCACGACACCCTAACACATATACAAGAGGCCTCCGACCCACAACCCAGGCACGGTGGCGATATATATATATATATATATATATATATATATATACAGACAGATAGATCGATGGACATACACATCGATAGACACACATATATATATATATATATACATACATATTTACATATACATATATAGATCTATAGATCGGTAAAATGACCCTCCTCCAACCTACAAGCAGCGAGCCCGAAACAATGCCACCACCTCCTCACTCACCGACCCTCGCTTTTCCGTTTGAGTCGTCGCCGTCGTCGTCGCCATCATCGCCGTCGCCGCCGCCGCCGCCGCCGTCGTCGCCGTCGTCGCCGCCGCCCGCCGTCGTCGTCGTCGCTGCCGTCGCCGCCGCCCTGCCGCCGCCGCCGCCGCAACCGTCGTCGTCGTCGTCGCCGCCGCCGCCGCCGTCGTCGTCGTCATCGTCGTCTTCGCTCCCCCCTTTCTGGGCTCTCCTCCTCAAGCGATCAAGCCAAACGGGCATAAAACAACGTCGTACATTGATTCGAAATGAAGCCCTTTGACCCTTGGCCTGCCGGGGGGGTGAAGGGGTCCGGGGGCTGGGGGTCTCCTGGGTGTTGTGAGCCCACCCCAGGCGGTCACCCTGTGGAGAAGGGGGGTGGGGGTCGTCCCCTCCCTATCGGCAGGAGAGCTCATGACCCCCCCCCGCCTCAACCCTGAATCTGGCCCAGCCCCAGCCCTGGCCTCGGCCCCGGCCCCGATCCTGGCCCCAGCCCCAGGCCCAACCCTGGTCCGTCCGTGTCCAAGCCACGGCCCCCCAGCCCAGGCCCCGGCCCCGGCCCCAACCAGAGCCCGAGAAGCTCCCAAGAAAGCCCCTACGGGCTCCAGAGCGTCAGCGGCGTCGTCGTCATCGTCGTCGTCGTCGCCGCCGCCGCCGCCGCCGCCGCCGCCGCCGCCGTCGTCGTCGTCGTCGTCGTCGTCGTCGTCGTCGTCGTCGTCGTCGTCATCCCCGTCGTCCCCCTTCAGGGTCGGTGGCGCCAGCCGTGAGGCCTTCCCAATATATTGCGAAGTGCATTTGGAACAAAATCTGGGTAATGCGCGGACGCCCCGCGATCACGTTGCATCCCCGGAAGGACCTTGGGGGCACAAATTTCTTTTGCCGGTAAACCTGACCCCAGTGCCGTGTTGGGGGTGGGACTGCGGAATCTTGCTTGCAGCAGTAACGAAGTCGGGAAGGGCCCGGGAAGGGAGTTGTGAGGATGCGTCAGGCGGCAGGCTTGCTTTTGAGAATGTGTTGAAGATGTCTCCAGCGAAACGCGTGCTTCGAAGAAGCTGAAGATGTCTCGAGGTGGGGGCCTCCTGGGGAACAACATTCAAAGATGTCTCGAACGGGGGACTCGTCTGGAGGAGGAGAAAACGGAGGAGGGGCAGAAACCCTTGTTTTTACATGAGATGGGACCATGTGTTCCAACATGAGTTTCTTTCGCCCTTGACCTCAACTTATAACTATGTGTGTATATCTATATCTATATATATATGTATATATATATATATATCCCAACGATCCTGTGGTGTTGGGTCCTCGTTTTGAAGAGACGGTCCCCGCGTTCCTCCTTCCTTCCTTCCTTCCTTCCTTCCTCCCCCTCCTCCCCGCGTTTCACAAACCCAATGCAGCGTATCGTGGCCCCATCCCCATCTAATAGGGAGCTCCATCGAAGCCCCCAATGAGACCGCCCCGCATGCGTCCTGGAAACCCAATTTGGCATTTTCACCCACCCAGTACAACGCTTCGTGGCCCCATAGGGAGCTCACCGAAGCCCCCAGTCGGACCGCCCGCGTGCGTCCCGGAAACCCATTTGGCATTTTCGCCCACCCAGTACAACGCTTCGTGGCCCCATAGGTAGCTCCACCGAAGCCCCCACTTGGACCGCCCGCCCATTACAACGTTTCGTGGCCTCATGGGGAGCTCCACCGGAGCCCCCAATGGGACCGCCCGCATGCGGCCCGGAAGTCAATTTTGCATTTTCGCCCACCCAGCCAGTACAGCGTTTCGGTCCCATCGGGAGCTCCACCGAAACCCCCGGTGAGACCGCCCGCATGCGTCCCGGAAGCGTCTTGTGGCATATTCTCATCCACTACAGCGTTTCGTGGCCCCATAAGGAATTCCGCCGAAGCCCCAAGTGGGACCGCCCGCATGCGTCCCGGAAACTCAACTTGGCATTTTCACCCACCCAAAACAGCGTTTCGTGGCCCCATAGGGAGCTCCACCGAAACCCCCACTGGGACCGCCCGCGTGCGTCCCAGAAGCCCAATTTGGATTTTCGCCCACCCAATGCAGCGTTTCGTGGCTAAGAAGCTCCACCGAACCCCCCGGTGGAACCGTCCGCGTGCGTCCCAGAAACCCAATTTGGCATTGTCACCCACGCAGTACAGCGTTTCGTGGCTCCATAGGGAGCTCCACCGAAGCCCCCAGTGGGACCGCCCGCATGCGTCCTGGAAGCCCAATTTGGGATTTTTCACCCACCCAATACATCGCTTCGTAGCCCCATAAGGAGCTCCACCGATGCCCCTTGTGGAACCGCCCGCATGCGTCCCGGAAGCCTCTTGTGGCATTTTCTCATCCACTACACCGTTTCGTGGCCCCATAAGGAATTCCGCCGAAGCCCAAAGTGGGACCGCCCGCATGCGTCCCGGAAGCTCAACTTAAACTTTTCACCCACCCAAAACAGCGCTTCGTGGCCCCATAGGGAGCTCCACCGAAACCTCCACTGGGACCGCCCGGTGCGTCCCAGAAGCCCAATTTGGATTTTCGCCCACCCAGTACAGCGTTTCGTGGCTAAGGAGCTCCACCGAAGCAACCCAGTGAGACCGCCCGCATGCGTCCTGGAAACTCAATTTGGCATTGTCACCCACGCAGTACAGCGTTTCGTGGCTCCATAGGGAGCTCCACCGAAGCCCCCAGTGGGACCGCCCGCATGCGTCCTGGAAGCCCAATTTGGGATTTTTCACGCACCCAATACATCGCTTCGTGGCCCCATAAGGAGCTCCACCGGAGCCCCTGGTGGGACCGCCCGCATGCGTCCGGTTTTCACACACCCAGTGCAGCGCTTCGTGGCCCCATAGGGATCTTCACCGAAGAAGATATTCACAATTGCGGTACCCACAACTGTACATGGTTGGGTCCTTCGCCACGAT